TCCCTCTTTCAAGACACGGCGCCCCACAGGGGTCTCGGATCACGACCTTCTGGAGGCTCATGACAAACCTTTTAACTTGACAGGCGTCACTGTCCCATGTCGTAACGTCGGTTGAGTTTCTGAGGCAGTAAGTGATGTCCTCTATCGTTAAGGATGCCAAGGTCATATGCATTGCGATGTCCCTGTGCCACGTTCAAAAATCATTCTGTTCCTAGATTCCCACCTGTCACCAACTAGAGAGCAATAATAGAGGCTCCTTGCATACCCATCAGGTACTCCATTCCCGGCTTCACTCACAGCCACGTCCGAGCCGACGAAGGAGATGGCGCGGATGTCGGGGTTGTCGCAGATGAAGTTGACCGCCTCGTGCTCGCCGTGGATCACGTTCACAACACCGTCCGGCATGCCCGCCTCCTGGCGACGGCGAAAAGAAACAGTGATGGCTGCCACCACCGAAATGGGGCAATATCAATCGCCCCGCTCTCTGAACGTGAGAGCGCGATGACTAGAGATCGCTGCTTGAGATCGCTCTCACTGCACACTAAAACACGCACAAAACAATGATGAATTACGCTACACCAGCCTAGTCCACAGGCGTAACGCCTGGCGACAATCCCCTCGGCAGTGAGCGCTCCCCACGGACCCCACACTCAAGGCCGGTGAGCGCCGCTCGGGCCGTGACCGGGCGCGTGACCGGGCACCTGAGCTGACCTCGAGGTCAGGCGCGGCTCTCCCACCTTTAACAGCTCCACCAGCAGCATGCAGGCGCCCGGGTCACGCTCGGACGGCTTGACGATGGACGTGTTGCCACACACGGCAGCAGTGGGGAACATCTGCCGGGGAAGGGACAGCGGCGGTCAGGGCCGGAGACGGGACAGCGGCGGTCAGGGCCGGGGTGGGACAGTGGCGGTCAGGGACGGGACGGGACAGTGGCGGGGGGCGGGGACGGGACAGCGGCGGTCAGTGACAGGGACGGGACAGCGGCGGTCAGGGCCAGGGCGGGACAGCGGCGGTCAGGGCCGGGGTGGGACAGTGGCGGTCAGGGACGGGAGGGACAGTGGCGGTCGGGGGCGGGGACGGGACAGCGGCGGTCAGGGACGGGGACGGGACAGCGGCGGTCAGGGCCGGGGTGGGACAGCGGCGGTCACGGCCGGGGTGGGACAGCGGGGTCAGGGCCGGGGCGGGACAGCGGCGGTCACGGCCGGGGTGGGACAGCGGCGGTCAGGGCCGGGTGGGACAGCGGCGGTCACGGCCGGGGTGGGACAGCGGCGGTCAGGGCCGGGTGGGACAGTGGCGGTCAGGGCCGGGGTGGGACGGGACAGGGCGGTCAGGGCCGGGGTGGGACAGCGGCGGTCAGGGCCGGGGGGACAGCGGCGGTCACGGCCGGGGTGGGACAGCGGGCGGTCACGGCCGGGGTGGGACAGCGGCGGTCAGGGCCGGGGTGGGACAGCGGCGGTCAGAGCCGGGGTGGGACAGCGGCGGTCACGGCCGGGGTGGGACAGCGGCGGTCACGGTCGGGGTGGGACAGCGGCGGTCACGGCCGGGGTGGGACAGCGGCGGTCAGGGCGGAACGGGACAGTGGCGGTCAGAGCCGGACAGTGGGGGTCAGGGTCAGGCCAGGGTCACATCAGCGATCAGTGGCCAGGCCGACCGCCCAGCTGACTAAGACACGGCGCCGCCCGATCGTCAGCTCGTCAGCTGATCGGCGCAGCGTTTCCATGAAGGGTGCTCTTGTAAGTTTGTAGAGGGATATATCGACCCGGGCCGGGTTACCCAGGTCTGATTAACTTAGCTTGCGGACGACTGGCTGAGCGAGCAGCCTTGACCAAAACACGTACCGCAGAGCGCAGCGTGCGTCTGCTGCACCGCGACTGCCCTGATCCTTTCACCAGTCTCTAAACGACAACATTTGCGATACGCCACGAACCACGCAGCATGGACTTCAGAAACACACGCAACAGCCGGAGCATATGACGTACTCTTTCATGCCAGACACAGGACCGGACGACCCAACTGCGGCACCCCGCCTCCGAGCGGCAGACGGCCGGGCGGCGCGTCCGGACGACTCACCCAGAGCGGGATCATGGCGGGGAAGTTGAAGGGCGTGATGCCGGCGCACACGCCCAAGGGGATACGGTACGACAGCGTGTCCATGTCTTTGGAGACGCCCGGCATCGTCTCGCCCAGCTGCAGACTCGTGATGCTGCAGCAGTGCTCCACCACCTCTGCAACGGCACGCAGAAGACGTGAAAATCGACGCGATCACTTGGCGAAACCCCCGGCGTCATCCTCACACGACACATGCAATGCACTTATGTGTGTGTTGAACAGTGTTACATGCCAGCCTACTACACATCGTAACACAAGTGCACACACTTGCTGTGTTTCTCGCACACAAGTGCGAGAAACGCAGCAAGAACACCTCCGATCACCCTCAAAAAGGGGCAGCGTAGCACCTTATGCAATCTCTAGCAGGACATACCTATGAGGCAAGGCTCTATCAGCCAGCAGCATCGCAGCATGCATGTATCGTGCGTATCCGATCCAACTCCTGTCATCCTGCATATACGTATCCCCCGGTAAACGTCTCCACCCGGAAATTAGGCATAATTTGGCATAATAAATAAAACACATCACGCTGCACGGACCATTCCTCCACATCACACAACTATCGGCCCGAACCAAAACTGAAGTCTGATCTGAGCCCAGTCCCTTCGGTCTCCATGCGGTGACAGCTGCCCCCCCCCCCCCCCTTGTAACCGTCACCAGCTGTTCGGTGATCAGAATGGGCGCACCGGGGCGCGCCGCGGCGGGCCGGGTTGACTCACGCAGGCCGCGCAGTACGTCGCCCTCGGCGTCCACCAGCGTCTCTGCCCTGCTCCTGGGTGATGCTCTCCGCCAGCCGGCGCATGTTCTGCTTGATCAGGTTTCTGGTAGTTGAACATGATCTGCTGCCGCGGTCAGGATGGATGTCTGCGACCAGGTCTTGAACGCCTCCTTGCCGCGTTCCACCGCGAGTTCATCTCGGCATGGGTGGCCTTGGGCACACGCGTGACCACCTGCCGGGCACAGCGGGACGGCCAGCGGGTCATGGCGGGGTCGGACGTTGCTCCCCAAAACCACCGGCGCCGCGCACAGGCAATCAAGACCTCCTTTACTCCGGCTCTAAAGCCACCTGTGCAACGCGGCGCGTGCTGCCATGACCAGGGCCGGAGTGCACTCACGCATGATAGCAACGTCCAAAACAATCGGTCAAGCTGCATCGCGTGACGTGTCACCAGGACAAAAAAAAAACTGTTTCTCGCGATTTCAAAACAAAACTGAAAAATCGAGTAGGATGGGCAGACAATGTTAAATGACTACTGATACTCATTTCGATAAACGCATGTAGCCGAAACATCAATATCAATATCAATATCAATATATATATATATATATATATATATATATATATATATATATATATATATATATATATCTATCTATCTATCTATCTATCTATCTATCTATCTATCTATATATATATATATATATACACACATATATATATATATATATATATATATATATATATATATATATATATACATACATAAGCGTGTGTGCGTGTGTGCGTGTGTGCGTGTGTGCGTGCGTGCGTGCGTGCATGCGGTGCGTGCGTGCGTGCGTGCGTGCGTGCGTGCGTGCGTGCGTGCGCTGTGTTGTGTATGTCCATTCTCCTGCTTATTCTACGAGGAATAATTCAATCATTTATCATTACTGTCCTCTTTATATGCATTATGTTCCTCGCAAATGCGCTTGACAACTTATATCAACCAGAGCCTCCGGTGCAATGACGGCACTTCATTCCAGCATATGAATTAACAATATCGCAAAGCTAAAATATCCACATTTTATTGTTTACATCGGGTGCATTGCACATACTTTCTGTCTCGGGAAGGCAGCAAGCGCTACCCTCACATTGTAAGGCTTAGCCCTTGTTCGTCCATTGTGACCCTAACCTTTCATTTTCTTCTTGGGCTAACAATTAAAAAATACAGAGCACTGAATGGCCCTTACACATGCGCTATCCACATCAAAACAGTATATAAGAACAGCCTTTTCCTGAATTCGTTACACCACGCCATCGTTCTCGCACACTGGTTTGGCCTTGAGACTCTCCTTCGGTACTGCATGACGATGCCACATCCTCAGCCAACGGATAACGCCGCAAGGCCATATGGCAGTGATCAGTGGGCACCCCACGTGACCTGCCCGCATACTCTCCGCCTCTGTCCAAAGGTCGCCGCAAAGCTCGGTTGCCAGGCCTCATCCCATATGACGACGGTCAGCACCAAGGCCAAATCACGGCCATGTGACAGGGCTTAAATACACATTCGCCGCCCGACAAAACCCACGGCTCCCGGCCGAGACGACGGGCAAACGGCCATGGCATGCCAGTTGGGGAAGCGGCCCGCGGCAGCGCTTCAGCCCCTCATAAGGACGCCGTTGTCCGGGCAGTGCCTCAGCCCTTCATAGGGACGCCGGTGTCCGGGGCAGCGCCTCAGCCCCTCATAGGGACGCCGGTGTCCGGGGCAGCGCCTCAGCCCATCATCAGGACGCCGGTGTCCGGGGCAGCGCCCCAGCTCCTCATCATGACGCCGGTGTCCGGGGCAACGCTTCAGCCCATCATCAGGACGCCGGTGTCCGGGGCAGCGCCTCAGCCCCTCATAGGGACGCCGGTGTCAGGGACAGCGCCTCAGCCCATCATCAGGACGCCGGTATCCGGGGCAGCGCCTCAGCCCCTCATAGGGACGCCGGTGTCCGGAGCAACGCTTCAGCCCATCATCAGGACGCCGGTGTCCGGGGCAGCGCCTCAGCCCCTCATCATGACGTCGGTGTCCGGGGCAGCGCCTCAGCCCATCATCAGGACGCCGGTGTCCGGAGCAACGCTTCAGCCCATCATCAGGACGCTGGTGTCCGGGGCAACGCTTCAGCCCATCATCAGGACGCCGGTGTCCGGGGCAGCGCCTCAGCCCCTCATAAGGACACCGGTGTCCGGGGCAACGCTTCAGCCCATCATCATGACGCCGGTGTCCGGGGCAGCGCCTCAGCCCCTCATCATGACGTCGGTGTCCGGGGCAGCGCCTCAGCCCATCATCAGGACGCCGGTGTCCGGGGCAGCGCCTCAGCCCATCATCAGGGCGCCGGTGTCAGGGACAGCGCTTCAGCCCATCATCAGGACGTCGGTGTCCGGGGCAGCGCCTCAACCCGCCATCAGGACGCCGGTGTCCGGGGCAGCGCCTCAGCCCATCATCAGGACGCCGGTGTCCGGGGCAGCGCCTCAGCCCATCATCAGGACGTCGGTGTCCGGGGCAGCGCCTCAGCCCATCATCAGGGTGCCGGTGTCAGGGACGGCGCTTCAGCCCATCATCAGGACGCCGGTGTCCGGGGCAGCGCCTCAACCCGCCATCAGGACGCCGGTGTCCGGGGCAGCGCCTCAGTCCATCATCAGGACGACGGTGTCCGGGGCGTCTCGGTTGCGCTATGAGCAGGTCGTTTCGCCGTGGCTCGAGAGCTGCCCTGTTCGAATTTTGCTGCCCAACACAATGGCTATCTGATACTGCCTTCCAGAACACAAGAACTCTGCCAACTGGCTCGAACGCACTAGGTAATGTATTAGTGACGGGAGATAGCTGGGCAAAAACCCTGACCAAGGGACCGACACAATCAGATGAAGGGGCCCCATCGGTAAACAACCGTTGTCTTAACTTATGTTCATAAACGAATGCAAAATGGCGTTTGATAATATTATAAAATATTTAGTGACCTATTATGATCATTGGATGCGACTTCATTCAGTCTGACGCAAAATGTTGTGCAACTTACGCCGTGAGATTCATGCTAATTGCTTCCTCCAAAGCACCCCTGGAAATAGTGCTGGTTCCAAAACAAGGCTTCCATCTTTTATATATTTCTTTCTTACTGGCGCCAGCCGTTGGTCGTATTAGAACCAATTGGACGAAACCTAAGATCCAGTGTCAACAAAGCCAATGATTTCCATGCCTGAGCAAGAATGTGGTAATGATCTAATATGTAAGAATAAGAATCAGAATGTGGTCATGAATCGAAGTTGGGTTAAAAGTCATCAAAAAAGAAACACACATCCACACAATTTCAGGTGCCAATGTCAAGTAAGATCAGTAAGGTCACTATTACATTGCTGTGGTATGTCCAGTTTATCACTACCACTTTAAGATGCATGAGTGACAAAGAGTCATGGGGCAAACAGGACCAACACGTCCCAGCAATGGGGTACAATGTTTCAAACTGTGAAGCCCGAGGTCAGGCTATGTTAGTGACCTATCATGACATTCAGAATTATAATATCACTAGCAGGTGATCAAGTGATACTGTAGGCTAAGAAGTCAATAAAAATGACAGCTTAAATTACTAAAGCAGATGTTACCAGGGGCAGGGGTTGAAGCAGGCCAGGTGAATTATGCACTACAAAACAAATTTTGCAGTTGACACACACATGCACACGCATATACACAAACACCCACATGCACCCACACATGCATGCACGGACGCACGCCCACGTGCACACACACACACAAGGGAAGACTACCCTACAACATATTCGCGGGATACATCAAGCCTATCTACATTCCAGACATGACTTTAAAATACCAGGGAAAATGTGAGATTGATGAATGAGAGGATGGAGAAAACTTTAAGCACCTTGCATCAGCTGTTCGCCAATTAGTGCCTGAAAGCCCATGGGTGTGGGTAGGAGCCGAACATCTAACCACCCAACAGCGTGAGGCAAGGGCCAATAAACTGTCAGGGCCTAACGTTACAGGCCTGGCCCCTGGTGCATTGGCATGGCACCAGTCCCAGTGGGCGGACGGCAGCGCCCCACCGCGGGACCGCTCCCCAGTGGACGCTCCGAAGCCAGCGCCCCACCAGGGGACAGCTCGCCAGTGGACGCTCCGAAGCCAGCGCCCCGCCACGGGACCGCTCGCCAGTGGATGCTCCGAAGCCAGCGCCCCGCCACGGGACCGCTCGCCAGTGGATGCTCCGAAGCCAGCGCCCCGCCACGGGACCGCTCGCCAGTGGATGCTCCGAAGCCAGCGCCCCCCCCCCCCCCCCCCCCCCCCACGGAACCGCTCGCCAGTGCACGCACCAGAACCAGCGCCCCGCCACGGACCGCTCGCCAGTGGACGTGCCAAAGCCTTGGGCAGCCGAACCTGGCTCATCTGGTCACACAGACTTGCAACACAGGCACAGCCACCCCAGCACAGGGCTTTGAGGGGAATGCAGGCAGCCACACAGCCACATCGCAGGTGGGGTGGCCGGGGAAGGGGCCCACAGCTGGCCAGCCTGGCAAGCTGCAGAAGACTGGGAAATAAGGCAAATGAGCTCCTGAATTTGGAGGAAATATCAAATTTGCACCCTGGTGGTCTCTGAAAATGTCTTCATGAGCAGTGTCAACTGGCAGCATTATTCTGTCAACTTTAATCAGGTTCAGACAGTCTAAACACTTAACAGACACAGCCAAAAAAGATCACTTTCTGACTGGGCTGGACTGTACTGGTTGGACTGGGCCAGGCTAGGCTTGACATATCACAGCATGTACAAAATTTACTCCACATGGTTTAGACTAATTAAAGCAAAAATTGCTTGATTTGGCTTCAACCCACATCCACACTTAAAAATCACCATGAAGCTATGAGATTGAAGAGTGCCACACTGAACAGCATCATATTATATGCTTCACACTGCAGAGGAAGTTACCTCAGTAAGGTATCAACAGCTTTAAGTCAACCCTGCATGTGCTATGTTTAAGGGCCATGGAAAGCAACCATGTCAAAACAATATAATTAATCTAGATTCACATAATTGAGACAATGGACACCACATCTGCTATTTGTTGCAACATTTGATGTGTGCACACTACACATAACTAGTACAACTTTTCCATCAATTGCATGCACAATTTCACCAAAACCACACACTCACCTCATTGGTGGCTGGGTTATGCAAGTCAATCCAATCAGATGTGGAGCTTTCCACAAATTGTCCATTGATGAATAGCTTGGTGGTGGCTACTGAGGCATACCGGTGACCAGAGCGCAGCCCAGACAGTCCTGCCTGTTGATCACCAAAGACAGCTGATATGCTGAGCATGTGTCTCATCTGGCATGGTGCTGGACAGACAGGTAGTGAGATGATGAACATTTGAAAGTAAAGGATGTTGCATAATTTACAGCAGAGCCAAAAGGGAAAAAGTTAACATTTTTCAAGTCTACTAAATTCTTGATCATTCCCCTGCCCTGTGCTGATGTCAAAATCATAATCAACATCCATCTATTCTAGCTTGTAAAATGATTGGCCGAAATGGCCAATGGCACACTAATGACGACATCCTTTAACTTCCCAAAGTGCAGCCATGGGGGTGGGAGGCGGCGGAGGCCTGGGCCTCTCGTTAAGTTCGTATTTGTCATTTTCCCTCATAAGTGGCTCCTGACAGATAATTCCAACATCGGCGTGACACGTACACGTTTTTCATGCAAGTTCGGACCGCCGTCACCTTGAGAAAATCCTGGCTGCGTCCCCGTACATCCCACAGACTCACCTTGCAGCTGGCCAGAGAGATTCGAAACATTCTTAAAGAGTCTACAACAAAGCCACACAGCAAAACTGTTTCAGTATCGCGAAACTACCGCCGAGGAATACCCGCGGGGAACAGCGCCGGCTAGTAGGGCGCCAACCACGGGGCCGTTTAACCACAGCTACTACAGAAGGCTGCGCAGACGTGACGTCATAATGGAAATAAAATTTGGGAGCCCGTAGTATGGTTTTTGGCTGACACTACACGAAGGTTGGGAGATACTAGTAACATGATTACGAATGGAGATTTCGAGAATAAACTGAGCAAGAATCCTGTTCTTCATCTTTTCCAGTGTTTTGTGAATAGATAGCGTGAATTTTGCATTTAAAACCTTCCAGAAAAATAAATACTTTGATCTGCTTCCAAAATTAAATCCTACTAAACCATGTTTTCTAGCTTTAGTACTCGCGCCGTATTTGTTGTAGCCAACGTGCCTGAACATTTATGGGAGCGTGTATATCGACTCATGAGTCGATTTACCGAAAACGGCCCTTCTGTGTAAATCACGTCGGATCCGAGTCGATTTACACACAGCTGCACCACTGTGTAAATCGGGTCAGACTCATGACGTCACGTTTGCGCATGCGCACTCGCCTGCGTTTGCGACCGTGTCCGCACCGACGCGCGGTTTTGAACGCCGGGCGTGTCGAGGTGCGGGTGAGGGTGGATGTGGTGCGCCACAAATGAGGATTAAGGTATGTGCATATTGTGCGTGCATGAAGGTATGTGCACATCGAATCGAGTCACAGATCAATGAAAGTAATTTCATTAAATAGGTACACTTGGCCAGAGACGAGGCGTAGGTCAAAATCAGGGTGCTTTCAACCAGGGACGACGCAGCAATGGCATAGGGGCTGTCCCCGCCCCCCCCCCCCCCCCTCCCATTGCCGGCAGACGGGTAGATGGCAGCAGTTCCAAATCAGGGATTTCCTTAAACATTTGAAGGACCCCTTTTGTGGATTGAAAGTATGCTGTTCTTGGTGACAAAGCCCTTTCACGTGCCAGGAGGCCATGTTGTATGGTACCAATGCCCTTTGTTGCAAAATCATAAGGTCCTGTTTGTTTTATTGTCAACATCTATTTACCTGGATATAATGCTTATAACAGTTTGGTAAAAGAACATATGCCTGCAATTTTCCTTTCCCTTCAACTTTCGAGACAACATTGCCCGTGAGGCCCCCTGTGAGGCAGCCCCATTTTGCTTAGGAGGCCCCTTGGATATCCTCCCCCCCCAAACCAAAAATCCATGGTGCCATTCCCTCTGTCAGCATCAGCAGGCTGGACTGATTTTCCCTCACTTGTTTCTACTTTGTGTTTAGGTAATTCATTAAAAGTAGCACATACTTTGTACCTATACATTTTGTCACAAATGGGAGCAGGTTTTGTCAGCTGATTGAATGTTACAGTGCTTATGTATATGATAATGGTGATCTTCAGCTGATTCTTTGAATGCCTGTCTTCTGGTTTGAAAAGGAGTTGGCCCATCCTGGCTGAAAGCAAGACTGGGTAGGTGTTTTCATCAAAATCTGTGGATTTTGTTGAAATACTGGAAAGTATTTTACATCAGGTGGTATTAATTTAAGAAAAGATTTGACCAGTACATATATGCTTCTAACAAAATGTATTGAAAGCTGTTAAGTAACAGCTGGGAATGATTAAGTCTTTTCAAAATCGAGCATTGACAGGGAGATATCTTGTGAGCGAGGTATGCAATTGTAACAAAACGAGTGGCCAAAAACAGGTATTTATCAATTTTAAAAACTTTGGGAAAACAGCAGCTGTGTTTGAAAAGCAAATTTGGATCTGGTGAGGCAAGGAAAGATGTTACTGGAGATCTTAGCTTCATCAGCATGCATTTTAGGACCCACTAAGGTTAGAATGCAAACAATAAACATGATTGTTGTTGTTCACAACTGTTCACATACTCTTTGCATGTATGTAAACTTATTTAAAAGCAGTGTTTAGATCATATATATATATATATATATATATATATATATGTATATATATATATGTAAGAAAGCTGTAGGTGTGGCTGACTAACAAGGATCACGCTGAGAAGTTGCCCATCACAGAGGTCTTCCCGGACTGCGACCAGTTTCTGTGCAGCTTCCATATGCTAGCAAACATGCTGGCTTTTTCAGTTTGTTTTCATAACCTATCAAGGTTGCAAATTGGATTGACTCTCCTCATTGCCCTTGTTTGTCTAATATTATTACTTAATGGCTTGATCATCCTCCGCAGTGGTAAAAGAAGCTGAGTGTGTGCTGAGTGATCCCTGCATTATGCATCAGTTGTTGAGCCAAACTAGGCTTTAAACATTTTATGTGGTATACAGCCTTGATAACTTTTTCATATAGCACTAATGGTCTGGCTCTTGCCTCTGGCCCTGATAGTCTAATGTAGTACTCCTGCAATCTGGCACCCTGGCCCCTGATGTTCTAGATCAGAAGGCCCAATGTTGTGTTATGGTGAGCTCTTTGCTGGCTTGGCAGGCTGTGTTACAAGCCAGGAAGCCCTGTACTGGATTAAGAGGCACTCTCTATTCAAGAGGCCCCTTTGATGCATCAGATAGCAGCAGTTTGAGGTCGGGCTTTCCGACCTGATATTACTGCCCTTGAGAGTCTGGCGAGGTACTCCTACCTCCTGGTACTCTGGCCCCTGGTGGCCAGACCTGGCACTCCTGCCCCCCATGGTCTGACCTGGTACTACTTCCTCCTGGTGGCCTTACCCGGTACCACAACTTGATGGTGTGAATTGGTACCAGTGCTCCTGGTAGCATAATACTGCTGTCTCATGGTGATCTGACGTGGTACTTGTGCCACATGGTAGAAGGACTTGATACCTCTGCCCCTGATGGTCTTATCTGGTACCCGTGTGCTTGGTGGTCGGGCCTGGTATTCCTGCCACCTGATAGGGTACCCCCACTATTGATGGTCTGACCTGACACTGCTGCTGCCAGCTGGTCTGACTTGGTACCCATGCCCCCTGCTTGTTTGGCATGGTGCCTTGTGCCTGATGGTCTGACCTGGTGCTACTGATGATCAGACCATCAGTGTGTGGGGTCACCAGATCAGACTACTGAAGTTAGAATTACCAGGTCAGGCCACCAGGAGGTGGGTACCAGATCTACCCTGATGATCTGACCTGGTACCCTGATGATTTGACCTGGTACCATGATGATTTGACCTGGTACCCCTGATGATCTGACCTCTTACCTCTGCTGATCTGATCTGGTACCCCTGATGATCTGACCTGGCACCCCTGATGATCTGACCTGGCACCCCTGATGATCTGACCTGTGACTCCTGATGATCTGACCTGTGAATCCTGATGATCTGACCTGTGACTCCTCATGATCTGACCTGTGACTCCTCATGATCTGACCTGGGATCCCTGCTGGTCTGACCTAATATTCCTGCCTCCTTGTGGTTCTTGGTATGCCAGCTGGCAAACTAGCTGGTTGTGCTTTGTGCATAATGTCTGTGGACATTACTGGGCAGTGCACTTAGCTAACATACTTCGCTATGTTTCAGACGTATAGCATCTCAACAAAAGATAGAAGATGCCCGTGTTGAGGAAAGGTGACTGTTTTCATTCCTTTGATGAGCTAGATGCCCATATCCGTGAATTGGAGGCCGAGACGAATGTGAAGTTTTTCAAGTCGAGCTCTGTCACTCTTGGTAAATTTCTTCAGACAAATCCTGGGCACTTTGTTTCAAAGTTGGTCGCTGACCGTGCTGACAAGGAGGCGCTCTTGCAGCAGAAAAAGTACCGTCTCGTTAAATTTTCATGCACTCATGGTGGGCGCCAGTACGAAAGCAAAGCTGGCGATCGTCGTGTCCGAAACACGAGAACCAAAAAAGTCGGCTGTCCCGTAAGCATCCTAGTGTTTCTGGAAAAGTCGCGTTTAGAGATTAGGGACATCTCACTGGAGCATTCCCACCCGGTGTCGAAGGCAAGCTTTCTGCTGCAGCCAGAAAATCGTCGCCTGCCTGCGTCCTAAAGGCAGCGTCACCACAGTCGTGGGATCAGCAAAGAAATAAGGTAATCTTGCTTGTTGTGAATTGATACGACCTTTCATTGACAATTGTTAGTAAAACCACGTCTCGAACAGTAATGAGTTGGGAAATATGACCGGCTCATATGCGGTGCGTTTCCGGTCATGACTAACTTGTATCGATCAATAACACATGGTACGGCGTAAAACTAGGTCATAATGTTTCTGCTCAGTGCGTACCATGTCTTGATGTAAGTTTTTCTTAACGTGTTCCTTTTTTTCTTCAGAGTACTGAACAGCAGCGGTGGATGGTGGGAGCGCTGGATTACACCGTCCACGTACTCGGCTTTAAACTCGCCATCATCATGCACCGCGTGGTCACGGTGTTCCATGAATTTGACATAGCTTCGTACATCGGAAACGCCTTGACTTCCCGGATACCTGTAGAGCTCTTAGGCTTCTTCTATTGTAGAGAACAGGCTCGATATCTATATTCGTTTGCATGTCATGATGTGAATAGCTAGTTTGCCAAGATACATCTTCATGTACATATATGAGTATTGCAAGCCCATCCAGAGACTCTGAAAGGCTGAAAGCGTTTCCGACTATCTGTGTTGATTGTTTCCAAACTGGATAAGCTTTGTTAAATAGCACCGCTCACCAAGCAATGGTTGCTTACGTCCAACCTGCTGCGTCCCTGGATGTCCTTGCACTATCTCCTCACTAGTCGAGATGAACGTTGAGCGAGCTTAGATCTGTCGTGTACCTGAACTAAGTAGCAGAAGTGAACTAAGTAGCCTCGTCAAATGTCTGATGCGTTCTTCGTCGACAGTTCCACATATGCGAGAACTGAGTGGGTAGTTATATACTTCCCCATGCGAGGAAGACGCATACAAATGTATGTACAATTTTGTTTTGTGCTAGTTTAACCAGTGACCGCTAGGGAGAATGTGTTTTTAAAAATACCAACATGAGAGCATTGCTTTGGCTACTCATTCAGTGTGTCGGGCCGCTGTTACATAATTGCTTAGTGCGTTCAACAATTCTCAGCCATGGTTGTTATTGATGTTTTTTGACACTGGTTGCGCTCGCACGCTTTGAATCTAGTCAAGAAGAACGTTGATGATTGATGGCGACAGCTCCAGTGGAGGGTGACAAGCCTAAACGGGTCGGACCGGGAAACGTTGACTTGGCTGGAGCGCAAGTCAATGAGGTCAGTCGCAGGAAACTCAAGAGTCTATTTGACATATCGGGACGTAGTCGCAAATTCTGAGGCTGAGCTGGGTCGAACACATCGTGCTCATTTCTGCATCAACACCGGCGGGTCGCCACCTGTTGCAGTTAGGCCAAGAAGAACCCCATATAATTTGAGACCAGAGGTGCGGAGGCAAATCGCTGACATGGAGGCCCGTGGGCTAATCCAGCGTTCTAACTCTCCTTGGTCGTCACCTATTTTGATGGTTAAGAAGTCAGATGGTTTTTTTCGTTTCGCGGTGGACTTTCGTGCGTTAAACAGTAAGACGATGGACGGGGTCTGCTACCAACCATCTGCCAAGGAATGCCTGGATAGCTTGGCTAGGTCCAGGCTGTTTACCACGATGGACCTGAACTCGGCTTATTGGCAGGTCCCAGTTGCCACGGAAGACCAGAGAAAAACGGCATTCACAACAGCGGACGGAAAATGAAAATTCCGGGTGGTGCTATTTGAGGCTAAGGGGTGCCTGGATGTTTTCCTCGCGTGATAGCAGAGGTATTGCGGGGCCTGATTGGAAACGGGGTCACTGCATATCTCGATGATATCACCGTCGGTGGAGGAACTGAAGAGGAGCACCTGCACCTGCTGCAAGCTGTGTTGGAAAGACTGAGGTGTGCTGGTTTGACTGTAAAGAGCAAGAAAGTGGCGCCCTGTAGGCGACAGATAAGGTTTCTTGGGCACGTTGTGTCATCCTCAGGCCTCGAGCCAGATGCAGAAAAGGTTGAGGTTATCAAGAAATGGCCGCGAGTACAGACAACCAAACAATTGAAACAAATTCTTGGGGTTTGCAATTACTACAATGATTTCGTGCCACATCTCCAGGTTGTGACGGCTCCGCTGCATAAAATCCCTGGAAAGACCAAGTTATAGTGGGGTGAACGGAAAGAAAATGATTTTCGAGAACTGAAACAGACCCTCACCACGTTCACGCTCTTACATTTACCAGACATACAGCAAGAATTTGAGGTTAGCACGGATGCATCGGATTTTGGTTTGGGCTGTGTTCTATCACAGAGAGACCAATCAGGGGTCGACAGGCCGGTAAATCTTGCCTCGAAGGCCTTTTCAGAAAGGGAAAAGAATTGGCACATTCGAGATAATGAGGCGTTTGCTTTTGTTTCTGATTTGAGGAAATTCAGACCGCACCTGCTTGAAGCGCGCTTCAAGTGGTTCACTGACCACTGTGAGATTCAAGGGTTACGCAACACCAAATATTCGAGAGGGTGGTACGCATGCTGGGTTGAATAGATGAGGAGTTCAATTTTTTCATACATTTCCGTCGCGCCGAGAAAAACCAACATGCTAATGCCCTGTCTCGCGTGATGATCGCAGCGCAGCCAGCGCCACAGTCTCAGCTACGCGATCTGATCCGCCTGGTCGAGGAGGGAATGCGAGGTGCTCAGGAGTAGGACGAGGCGTTCAGGGCACTGCGCATGGAAGCACGTCTCAACAGAGTGCAGGGTCCACACAGCCATCGGTGGCGACAGTGTGGTTTTGAACCGGTCATTGATAATGGCAGTGGTCTGTTAAGCGTCGTCAAAGCAGGTATGAGGTTGGTCCCGAAAGGCCTCATTACACGTGTTTTTAGCCTCAAGCATGACGAGTTCGGACATTTCGGTGCTGGAAGAACCTGCCAGCTGCTGAAGCATGCTGGATATATTTGGTGGGAAATAGATCACGATGTCAGGAACTACTGTAGGAGCTGTTTGGTGCGTGCACATTCAAACAATACGCAACGTCGTTTCACCGCGCCGTTGGAAATGACGACGCAGGCCACAGCGCCTTGGCAGCACGTCGGTGTTGACCTGATAGGGCCGCTCGGACGGGAAACCACAGGACGGGGTGATCGGTACGTTCTAGGCGCACTGGAGCTTCTGACCAAGACTGTCGAGTTGGCCGCCATTCCAGACAAATCGGCTGAAGCCATCGCCAGCTCGCTGATCGAGAGTGTCGTGTACCGTCACGGTCTCCCGGAATCCATACTGACAGATCGTGATCTGGAATTTAACAAGCAGCATCTGGCGGTGTTGGCCCAATCGGTGGGCATACACAAAACAAGGGTTAGTGCATTGCATTCACAGTCGAATGGGGCCGTGGAAAGGGCAAACAAACCAGACAATCGGTGCCCTGGTCCGTCGCAATGTGCAGGAGTCCGGATTCGAATGGGACAAGTGTCTGGGTGTTGTCAGATTCCAGTACATGTCAGCTCCGCACAACGCCACTGGTGGGTCTCCCTTTTCCTCCAGTTTGGTCGCCACCCACGCACTCCTGGGATAGCTCGAACGGAGGAAAGTTCTTCAAGCCGTTTCGGCACAGAGCAGTCGTGGGGCAGAAACCTGGTGAAAACGTTGGTGAGAGCTCACGAGGAGGTAGTCAGACGGGAGCACAAGACAAAACAGGAAAGATTGGATACTGGTAGAAAAACGGCAAATATGGTCCCTTATCGTCGGGATCGGTTGTTTATGAAGCTTCCACAAAAGCCAAGAATGCCAGAAAAAGTTCAACCCCGTTCGGATGGCCCCTTTGTAGTGATCAGCTGCCGGCAAGGGAACACACACCGCATCAAAAGATGTGACAACTTTAGGCATCGTGTCATACGTCATTTTGATCAGTTGAAACCTGTGAGAAGAAGGCAGCCGCATCTGACGAGCCAGGATGACAGGGACCAGGGGACAAAGGCAGATGAGAATGTGACAAATGACGCGGACAGATGGCCAGCGTTGACGTGGAACCAAGAGATGTGGGACTCAGAAAATGACTGAGTCTGAGAATGCCGAGAGACATGTTGAAGAAACTGAGGTGATGGTTGATCGCTCCACTGAAGCGCGAGCAATCCCCCACCGCCGCCGCAGTGAGAGGTGAGGCCGTCCTCTTGAGCGATGCGGCACGGCGAATGGACCGTGAAGTCTGCACGGTGGGGGGGGGGGGGGGGGGAGGTGGATACCGATGGACTCGCAAGCTGGAGAGCGGATAGTGTGGTGTATTGCGGTACTAGTGCGCGCGCCTGTGCGGCTGGCCGGCCGCCGCGGTCAGCGGTCACTGGGATACTGATACTGATACCTATCTACTGATACCTATCTACTGATACCTTTCTGCTGATACCGGCGAGAGCGCGCGTATATCACAAGGCAAATGTGCAACAGAGGGCGTAGTCCCTCAAAATCGTTGTCACCATGAAATTGACCCAGACTATTTTGCGAACGAAACTAGACATTCAAAGTGCAGATCGGACAGGGCTTCTCCATGTTTCTGTCCATTGTGTTAGTTCAATCAGCTTCTGATGATACATATTGTTTGTTGTCACTTTTGAACAATAGTCTATGCATATCTGATTAACTTGTTAATCGTTATTGGTGCACTTTTCAACAACCTGGCTGCGACAAAAACGCTAAGGCCCCATATGCAAGTTCTGCTGTTCTGGTGTCTCGCCTCCGGCTCACCGGTACACACGGTACGTTCAAAGCCACTTCTGTATTTCACACTCGTCACAGGCACTCCACACGGTCCATTGCGCCGGCGCGTGCGCCCTCGCGCCGGCGGCTCTCCGAGTCTTCTCCTTTGTTACTCCCCTCTCCTGGCCCCCGCGGCCGCGTCCCTCGCACGAGGCGCCTGGGGCAGGAGGGGGGGGGGGGGGGGGGGGGTTAACGCGAGCGGCTCGAAGCGGCGCTCACCGCGCTAAGCAAACTTTGGCAGCAGCAGGTACCCTCTGACACCTTGCACGCACACATTCCCCGCAAGTACGCTTAAACGTTGTTTTCGCCAAGAATCACTGAAAAAGCGTAAATAAAGCGCCAGATTTAAGCCATTGTCAAACCTTCCCAGTGATATCATCTGTTTTCATATTCTCACACAGCCATTAAAACACTCTTGGGTCCTGAGAAATTACAAGACTAGCCGCGCCCGTCATCTCTCCGAATAGTCTCCAGATTTGTGCAACTTTTTCGTTAGACGTGTTACTTTCTGGTTCTACAATACAAAATAGAGCAGCTGAGTCAGCTGAGTCACGGCATGAATCACGTATCGTCGTCTACTGCGTTGTTGGATGGTGACTTGCCGATTCAGGTCGCTTCGTGTCGGTGGTGCTCTCGGGAACAATCGGGTTGGTGCGCTGCTGACGGCTGGTCGCCATGACTCAGGAAGGGTGGGTATATAATCTGGTCACCGCTGTGCGAGCCCTCACTCCTCTCATTCACGTTGCGACGGCTGGGGTGTCCGTGTGTGCTGCAGGAGATTTCAAGCTGAAAAAAGGTCTGCTTTCATTTTCCTGGGACAAGTAGGCCATCTTGTAAATAGATCCGTAGTCTGGTCGGCCTGAATTTGGATTGCCACGTGATCAGCACAATGTAGTTGTCTCAAATTCAGGATGTCTACCTAGTGTCACAGCTCACACTGTTTACAAAAAAAGTTGTGGTTATACTTTGTGCAGGCTACATGCACACATTTTTAGAGACAAATTGAAAATACTATACATACACATGCATGTGTGCACATGCATATATGGTAGAGTGGAGGGTTTGCCATTTATCATTACATGTGCATTTCTGGTAATTTCAATTTGTCTTTGTGTGATAAAGACCATAAAGGTTTGCACTGAATGTGTATTGTCATTATGTGATGTTAATTTTTGTCATCATGTTTGTCATTTTGTTATCTAAAACATAGATTTGGGATGACATTATGTATTGACAAGTCTCTTGTTTTTCTCAGGTTTCCCACAATGGATGGCAAGAACATCTCAGTAAAGGCCTATCTGGCACTGGAAGATGGCAACCAGGAGATCCGCCGGTTTGGCCTGGACAGCTCAGCTGCCACCAGCTTCTCCTATCTGCAAGGCAAGCTGCAAGTGGTGTTTCCGAGCCTACTGCGCCAGCAGTTCAACATCCGCTGGGAAGATGCTGATGGTGACGCCATCACGATCAGTTCTGACGAGGAGCTGCTGGTGGCGCTGGTCAGCTGCCTGCAGGTGGCAGGCCAGCAGACACTGCGCCTGCACGTGGTACCCACCGGCCGGAGCCGGCATGCTGCTGCTGCCGCCACTGCCGCTGCTGCTGCTGACACTGATGCAGCCGACGGCCCCATCCACCGCGGCGTGTGCTGCGACGGCTGCGAGCAGACCATCTGCGGCCACCGTTACAAGTGCATGAGCTGCGACGACTATGACTTGTGCGCTGGCTGCGAGGCGCGTGGCATGCACAAGGAGCACCTGATGCTGCGCATCCCCAGCCCAGAGCAGGTGTGGCAGCCGGTGTTCCGACACGGACGGCGCAGCGGCCGCCGCGCCGGCCACTGCACCGCCTGGGGCGGCGGCAGATGCGGCTGGCCGGCCGGCATGAGCTGCCCGGGCGGTCGCAGGGCCGGGCGCGTCCCCGAGGAGCGCGCTGCGGTGCCTCCGTCTGCGGCGGCGCCGCCCCCATCCGGAGAGGCGCCCGCGTCCGGCGCTGAACAGCAGCAGCAGCAGCAACAGAAGCAGCCCAGCAACTTCTTCGAGGCAATCCACTCGGCCATGTCGGCACTAGGAGGCTTCGGGCCTGAGGCGGACCCCGCCGGCGCCGCCGCGGCCGGCCGCTGGACGGAGAAGAGCCTGGAGGAGCTCGGCCAGACCATCGCGGCCGTGCTCGACCCGTTCGGCATCGACGTCGACGTCGGGGTGGAGTCGCGCCAGAAGCGGCGTGAAGCGGCGGCTGGCGGCGCCGATGCCGCCCCGCAACCGCCGCCGCCGCAGCAGCAGGCGCCGCGCGCCGAAACCGCGGCGAGCGATCCGGCTCCTGTCTCCCGGCCGGCGGAGGCCAGCGTCGGCGGAGCCGAGCAGATGGAGACGGAGCCGGCTGCGGCGGCCACCCGCACTGGCGAGACGCCTACCGCTCCGGTCGACATCACCCAGTTCATCGTTGACAGTGATCCGCACGACGACTGGACGGTGGTGAGCGGCAGCAGCACGCCGTCTGAGGCGAGTGGATCCCGCGTCCGCGTTTACCCGGACCTAGCGCAGGCCGCAGCCGACACGGCGCGGATCGCCGCTCCCACTGCGACTCCGGCCCCGGCCCCGGCCCCGGCCCCGGCCCCGGCCCCGGCCCCGGCCCCGGCCCCGGCCCCGGCCCCGGCCCCGCCCGGCCCCGGCCCCGGCCCCGGCCCCGGCCCCGGCCCCGGCCCCGGCCCCGGCTCCGGCTCCGGCTCCGGCTCCGGCTCCGGCTCCGGCTCCGGCGCCGGCTCCGGCCCCGGCCGCCGGCGTCTCGCACGCCCCCTCCGCGCCGGTCGCGTCCGACTCAGCTGGCCCGCTGGACCCGCGCATCCAGCGCGCGCTTGACATCATGTCCGCCATGGGCTTCTCCAACGACGGCGGGTGGCTGACGCAGCTGCTGCAGGCCAAGCAGGGCGATATCGGCGCCGTGCTGGACGTGCTGCAACCTGTTCGCCCCCCGCCCCGGCCAGTAGAGTCCCGTCGACCGCCACTCGAGGCCTCCGCCCCACGAGAGGTGTGCATCGCTTTAGATGTCGGTCAAGTTGTACCGCTGCCGTGTTACTGGCTGCCACAGAGTTTGTGGTATGTCAAGCTTGATGTCTATGTAACAGACTGCTGATGCGAGGCGTGGTCTCCAGGTTATAGCAGGTGGACAGGTTAGCACACTACGTGACCATTTTTTTCTCAATGTATCGCCGCAGGAAGTTACGTCGTTTATTCCCTGACATAGACTCTTACGGATCGGGCTGCACGCCGGTGGTAGGCTGTTAATTGATATGCCAAGTTTATCCAAAGACTTGCAACGAACGAGGGAGATGACTACGCGATTCGATGTTCCCCGTTGTGTTAATCGCTGAGTGGATCACAATAAATAAAAGCCTTCAGCACATTATGTTGTCGAACAGAACCGCAAAAATCGGCGTAAAGAGGCCTGAGTAGAAAATGACGGGTGCCTGGCTGCAATTCGACGCCAGTCAATCCTCAACACGGAGAACTTCTGTGTCATGTTTGAGGAACGTGACCAACTTCACCTCACAGCCAAGAGTACGGAGCCGGACCTGAAGCTGAAGCAGGATGGTCGGCGTGACCTTTTGAAGGGGTAACGGATGTAGGTGTAGTTGGAGGTGTAGGTGGGGGGCGGGGGGTATCATGAGTGGAATGCTGTCTACGACACCGGAGCCGGACGACGATGGTGTGGTCGGGAGGCACCTGACACGGGTACTGGGGGTAATCCGGCAACCGGTTCAGCCGCACGTTTGGGGATGAGGCGCTTCGCTGCCATGTCGAGCTCACACTGCCCTCCGAAGATCCGTTTCAAGAGTAACATGGTCAGGTGGTCAGTGCCGAGCGGGCATCAGGCTTGTGTTGTCACACAAGCAGAACTCGCGAAATGCCGACAGGTGCTATACTGTCGCTCTAGTATAGGTGGCGCTAGAGTGCATGCGGGAGGTGGGTACTCTGGACCGGGGCTTGGCAACGTGAGTTCGCTATCTGAAACGTTCGTAAGCAAATATTTGTGGGATGCTTGGGCCAGCCAGAACTGCACAAGAAAGGCTGGTCTAAAAATGTGCTACAGAGAGCAGTGCGCGAAAACAATCCATCCTTTACAAAACGCTGCGAATTAGCCGCCGACTTATACCTCAGCTCTTAGTTCATACCGCTGTGTCGCTCAAATTGTAGTGTGTAACTCGGCCGGCTGGTCCAGCCTAGCCCAGCTGTCACGCCGGGCTGGACTTGACTGGGAAAAGCCAACATCTTTGCAAACACTGCTTGCGGGCTCATGCAACTTTCAACAACATGAATATTGTTTTATGGCATGTATTCCGCATAAACTGTGCGGCATTGAAATGCAAGTGATTTGGTCGTGCGTTTTTGCTGCAACATTGCAATACCACGCACACACTAGCGCGTGCGCGTGCACACACGTTCGCACGCGCGCACGCACGCACGCAAGCACGCCCGCACGCAAATTAAGTCTGGTGCTGCCAAGTAACGCAAGGTGGACCATTTCCTCCCAGGATGATGAATAACGGCCACTATACAAATGGATGGTTAGGACAGGTCATCGAATTTCAGCCCTCTGGCTTGAGTTATCTGGGGATCTAGCAGGGGAAAAAATACTCGAATCTCTACCCCGTCCCGAATGACAAAGGGTTAAATTACTATGTGCTGATTAGGTGTGCTTAACTCAACCCTTGTTTTTTGCGAATAGACTGGATCAGTACAAGTTCATAAGACCATAATTCCTTTTTGCATTGATGCTGTCATTAATTCTCTCCCTTCCCTGCAGCGTTTTGCCAATATTCGACACAGATCAAATACTGAACAAGACACGGCGTACGCAACGTACGAGACATGGTGCAAAATTTGCCAGTTCTCTTTCCTGAAATGTGGGTGAATAAACTGGGGTCTAGACGAATATGCAGATAAATTTAAGGCTTTCGCTCCCACTACCCTTGGGTTATGATATCAGACAGAGCCATTATGAGATAATCAAAGAGTTTATTCAGTCTAGCCGTGGTAAGGATCGGCCACCTACGAGCATCGTCGTTATCAACATGGAAACTTTTCGGAAATGCACTGTTCTACCACAAGTACCAGAGCAAGAAGCATTACCCACACCACACGCAAGATGCTATACGCACACCAAAAGCTTATGCTGTAGGGATATCCGCACATTTCGTAGCATATAATACCAAACGCTCTTGTTAAGTCTTTTCCCATCATGAGTGTATCAAGATATCATAAAAAACGACCATGAGGAGACAGTACAAAGTTTATTCAGTCAAGCTGCAGAAAGGGGCCACCACCTACAACTATCGCCGTCATTAACACGCACTCGGTTTTTCCGGAATGGTTTCCGAGCGTCGCGGTCGTAGCTGCGTCAAATTTTGCATAGCTATAGACCATGGAATAGCGGATTGTCTGGAATAAAAAATTATATATACCTTGTGCGGTCACTGACCTATGGCGGCCAAAGTCAGGCCATGGTTTCAGCGAATACAATTTTTAGGGAATCGTTCAACCTGATCCAACGACGGAGTGTTAGACAAAAGCACACATCTCTGAGACACTTTCTTAGGCAACACAACAACTGAATGAACAAATGGCATTGACCTAAGGTCAGTTATGAAGGTCAGACCAAGATAAAAACCGACCTCCTTTATTACTCCAGGGCTTGCCGTATGGGGTAGTTGCTGGTGCTCATTTCGAATTGTATGATAACAGGAGCCGCATTATACACCTTCCATGTATTTCTTAAAGGTCAGAATAGGTCACTGACCTAGAATGACCTAAATAAACATGTATTTTTTAGGAGCATACTGCCTAGCGTAATCTTTGTCGCATATCCAAAAGCAAACCTCAAGTGGTCTTGTATGATTTTGGTCGCCACGACCTTCAAAAGTTCAAACGAGTTCACTAACCTTAGATGAGCATGTGACCTTTTGCTTAGAAAAGTTATCTAGGTTCCAGCGGGCCTTTGGAGACCAACCTGGAATTTGACCTTGTTTGACCTTATCAGACCCGAAGGCCATCACCCAGGAATCTCAAACTTTTGATTTAAGTGAGCCCACGTACAGGTCAACACACCCCGTGAGTTTGGTGTTTCTAGCTTCCCTGGTTTCTGAGATCTCAGGGGGCTCAAATTGACTCCCCACCCGAGCGAAGGGTATCTAACCGGCCATCTGGGCGCGTGTTAACATCGAAACTTTGCGTAAATATCCAGTTCTACCACGAATGCCATTTATTACCAAAGGCTACTCTGAGTGGTTCCATAGCTTCAACAGCAATAGCTGCAGTCAACACAATGTCTAGAAATTACAATCGCCATTTTTATTCAAATAATTGTTCGTGAAGAAATTAGCTAAACTTATCGGCCCGCGGTCAAAAATGTTCTCCGAGACCAAAAAGCACTGATGCCAAATGTTATACCACACACAGAAGCCAATGCAAAAAGGATATCCCGGCAGCTGTTCACCATGGATTTCGGCGCAATAAGATCTTTCCAAGTTGGCAATGTCCATGAATAGGCATGATGACAAATTGTGTTCCAGCTTTTGGCATTTCGCCTTGACTCGGCAGCAAAAAGCACACATCGACCAAACAGCATTCGGTTAATTGCATGCATGAAAACATTGAGCCAAATACATATCGGTTATTTGTCTGAATATCTTTTCAGGCACGCATGCGATTCGGTGCCAAACCTGAAATGTGCGCAAATTAGGGATAAACAGAAACGAAGTCTATCACTGTCGTCGGGTTTATCAAAACAGCCAGTGAGTGACGCTGCGGAAACGCACTTGTATCGTCTTCGTGCATGTGCTGTTCATCTTTTCACATTAACAAATTTAGTACAGTGAGCAATATCATATTCCAATGGTTCCACTCCTGCAATACTAGCTTTTGTGCTCTTCAGCTTTACCCAAGCCTTGGCTTTGCCCAATAATGCTAGCCAGGGATGCAGATTCCTATTCAGTTGCAGGGCTCTTCAGCTCTCCCCCAACTTGAGTTTTAGCGCCCCCAGCTTTGGGAGAATAGGGTCAAATTTGAAGATAACTTGGTTGCTGGCAAATTTTTGTGAAAGGCTTCAGAGTTTTTCATGGATCAGCCCCCCACTCATTTTGAGAAACTACGTCCCTGATTGAGCCATATAATAGGCTAAGCATTTTAAAGAGTCATGCAGCATGATGAGCCCAGCACTAGTGAGTCCAGTACTAGAGTAGAGTACAGCGGAGTACGGACAACTGTTTGGCATATGAAACTCAAAATAACTGTTGGTAAGACAGCTTTTGAGATCCTTTCAGCACGATCCTTTGACCATAACGAGAAGTCTCGCTTTCGTGAAGCCTGATTTGGTCACCGTATCAGCGATGGATTAAACGGATATTGTTCGTTGCAATGGCTGACAATCCGGTGTCGCGAGCAGTTGGCCTGTTAGGGAGTCGGCCGGTGTCGCGAGCAGTTGGCCTATTAGGGGGTCGGCCGGCCGTCGCGAGCAGTCGGCCTGTTAGGGAGCGTCGGTGTCGGCGAGCAGTTGCCGTGGGAGTCGGCCGGCGTGTCGCGAGCAGTCGGCCTGTTAGGGAGTCGGCGGT